CTCAAAGGCCAGCTTCTTTACTTGGTATCTTTTTACTTAATATAGTACTACACTTACTCATTATATTCATGATCATTATCTGCAATTAATTTACTTTTTTTCGTAAAATTATGCTGATTTCCTAAAATGTGTGCAATTCACTACAAAATGTGAGACTTACTGCTGCAAATAATAATATTGTACTCAATATATGTACATAAAGTATTTGCATCTGCTCGTCTTTTCAAGCTGAGTCAACATTCTCAAAAATACATTTTTCACAGACAGCTATTTTGAAAAGCATATGTACTTGTTCACCATAAAAATTTTGCATATGCAACGAGTCTTATGAGCGTTCTTTCGGTGTGATACCCATACTTCAAGCCTCTTTTTGTTTTTAAATGTAACTTTCAACTTTCCGAAAATAATGTTAAAATATTTATTTTTTAAATTTTTTTTAGAATTATCGACAAGTGAAAAAATTTTACTGATTTAGCGATTACTTAAAAATATATCTAGAAAGTTATTYAATCAGGACTACCTAGACTCTCACTTTGATTTAGCCCTTCCTTTTTCTACTGAACTGAATCCATCTATAATTGTAATTGGACAAAGACAACTTTTTATAGGGACTTGCTACAATAACAAAAACTCTGTGGTAAACAATATTCGTACACAGCGCACTCGTAAAATGTGTTCTGTGATGGCGGAGCAAAATACATAAATAAATGTGAAAAAAAAGATAGCATGGGCACACTTTGCCTGTTTCATTGGCTAACACTTATCCACTTGGTTGTGCATTTAATGCAATTAATCACTTGAGAATTGTCAGCATCTGACCTTGACTTCGTACGCTGGACGCATGCGCTCGCGTTAATTTAACAAGTTAAACACGACAATGACTATGCATGTACGCGGCAACAATGAGATGGATGAGTGTTCCATATGCGTTGAGTATAGAATATGAATGACATAACTTTAGTATTATTACACTTTGTAGAGATGTGCTATCTTTGTTTATGTGCCAGTGGTTTATTATAATTATTTGAGTTAATATAAATCTTTTTACTGACTAAGTGCTCTTGTTRTTTTTGTTTTTATACTTATGTATGTATGTATATTCGCTAAAGCGGTTAATGTTATCAGTGTCTGAAGGGAATATGAGTCATATTTCCAGTAATTTAGTTGAAAGCAATAAAAGACTAAGCTTCACATTTCATTATTARAACTTTGTTTCACTTCTTAATTGAGTCTCATAAGATAATCATATTAGCGGATATGGTTCATATAGAGAACACCAGTTTTGACGAACTATTCTAAACCTCCATTTTCATGTATTTTAATATAAATTTTTACTATCGTTTAAATAGACTTCTGAAAAAATGCTTGTCTTTTAGTATGAGTCYAGCATTGACACGCTTCATACCCAACACATCCATAGCATCATGTGTTCAATCGATTCATAACTGATGCTGAAATCCTCCGCTATATCTATAATGTCAGCAGGGCATTTTTAAGCTTTAATTTACTTTACWCCTTTAAATTTTTCGATTTTAAAGTCATTGACAAAGTCGTTGTTCTATTTTTTTTTTATCAAACTTCACACAAACATAAACAAATTGCACGCACAGTTTATATAGGCTAGTCCGAATCAAATTTAATCAGATGGTAAATAAATATATGTTATTATAATGATTCAAATTATTAATTTTTTGTATATCACTTACTAGCTACTGTGATAGCCAGACTAAATTAAATTCCTTAGCAACTCTACAAAAGTGTGTATTTGAACATTTTGAGTGATATTGTATGTAATTTCCAAAACCGATAATGTATGCTCCGCATAATGCTATAAATCGACGTTCAGAAACAATTTTCTAAACTCATTCATTTATTTTACATGTAGCTGTGCATCGTACACAAATAACTGCGAACATACAAGTTTGCTTCACATCGTTACAATCTGTCTAGCTGKCCGCGTGACAGTCGATCCATTAAAAATGCTACGCTTTCAGCTAATAAGTCGCGTAAATAGAATTCCAGCTGCCGCATTAATTTGAATTCATTTAAAATTGTGAATCAAATTGAAATTAAATTGCAAATAAAAAAAATAATCACACATGAGAATAACAGTAGCATATCAAAAGCGCAGAGAATTCGCATTTGAACTTGAATTTTTATTATCACATTGCTATTAGCGCGGCTGTGGGACGGTAGTTTGAGCGACGAGAAGCCACCGGTTGGAAGTGTGGTTTAATTTATGTACTTTTTACGTAATACGTACAATATTGTTGTTGTAGGCTTTTATTTTTTTTCACATGTTGTAGTTAATTAACACAATAGAAGTATATTTCAACGAAAATGTAAAATAAGCAMTCAACAAAGTGTGTTTGGTTAGCTTTACCTTCAGGGATGTTAGACAACTTAAAAAGTGTTTACAAATATCGGATAATCATTCAGCATTTTAAACCAACAAAAAAAAAAATAACTCTTTGTAAAGCTCTTGAAAATTTTATCTTTAATTTTATACTTACAGGCGAGGACGCTTTAATTTCGAAAGAAAATCGTCACCCAAAAAGCATTAGTAAGAGTCAGCACTCGTTTAAGGAACTGCAGGCGCAGACAGAACAACAGCAATCGCCCACAACTGGCTTAAAGCTCACAAGCGCAGCAGCAGCAGTTTCAAATTCCCGCCGTAACACTAACGAAGTAACAGCGACTGCCGCAAATACCCAAATTCCAACAGACAGTAGAACACCAACGACCAAAGTAACCTCAGCAACTCAGCAAAAGCCAAACACACCTCAAATCAAACAACAGACAGTGCAACAGCTTAAACAGGTGCAGCAACTGAGTGGCCGCAATAGCAGTCACAATAATAGTAAACATAATACTGCTGCGATAGAATATCACCACAACAGCGTCGACGTTTGCAGTGAAGCGCCAACTTCAAAGAATTTCGCTAAACTCGTCGGTAGCGCCACTGCGGCGACTGGATTATCGTGTACACGTACAACAACTGGTGTAGTGCCAACGCCAGCGACGTCAACGGCTGTCACGCCGGCGTCGTCGTCTGCGTTCACAACCTCGCCAAAAGCGAGCAATAAAAAAGTGATGCACAGTCACGCCACGGCGACCCAACATAGCGGACAAACAACAGTGGTTGGTCATCATCGCGGCTTCTCGCAACCATCTGTGACAGTGGCGGCCAATTCAGCAGGCGATCCATGGTTTTTACAATCCACCGGGCATCAAATGCCGCCGACAGCGCCTTTGCGACATAATAAACGTCCCGCGCCGCAACCCAATCACGCTAACAGCGTGGGTGGCGCTGGCCTAGGAATTGGCGTTGGCGTGGGAACAGGCGGAGGTGGTGGCATTGCCGGTGCGGGGAGCATCGGTTTGGCGAACTCTAGCGGCGTTGGTGCTAATTTATTGCATCAACAGCAGCTGAGTCAATCGCAGCCTCACATTGTACCGCCGAATATTCCGCCGCATCATCACAACAATGTGGTAATTATTGTAGCAAATATTAGTGTGAATTATTGTAATTTGTTTTTGTTTATACTTTTCAGAGTCAACATCACAACGCAATCCATTTGTCCTCGCATGCACTTAATAGTCATAATTTAATATCGACCGCGGTTGGTAGCAATCATTCACCAAAATCACCCAATCAACAACAACAACAGCAGCATCATCATCATCAGCAGCAACAACAGCAGACGGCACAATTAACCGGCTCTACGCCACAGCCGCATGCACATGCACACGTTTTATCCACCTTTGCACCAACTGCCGCTAATTGTGCGCCCACGGGTGGTGTGACAGCTGCCGCGGTGGCCGCCGTCACACAACAGCAACAGCAGCACTTGCAGTTGCTGGCAAATGCTTCCAGCAATAGTAACAATAATCTGATGTCGTCCTCATTGAATGCGGCGCAGCATAGTGCCGCCTTATCGTTACATGAGCGCGGCTTACCACCAAAAAGTGGCGCCCATGTGGCCGGTTTGGGCGTCGGTTTGCACAGTAGCAATATGCTATTGCATCAAACACAAGCACCCACATCGCTTACGAGCAGCCAGCAACAAACGCAATCGGCGATATCGCTGAACACAGCTGGGGGGAGTAGTAGTGCTGGTGGTGTGGCTGCTAGTAGCGGTAGCTTAACTGGTACAAGCATGTCCACATCTTTGCACAGTTTTGATAGTGGCAGTTCGGCGGGCAATGCCTGGGCAAGTAATGCTAACGTAGCAGCGGCAGCTTTGCACTCACCCACTAACGCTTTAGGAGGCGGGAATCAACATCATTTACAACCTCAACGCAAATGTGAGGTTAAACTGAACGCAATGCCGTAAGTAATGCAATGCAAGGCAATAGACTTAGGCACATAATTATTGCTATTAAAATGAGCGGTAGAGCTTCAATAAATAAAATATAATTTAATAATTTTATTATAGCGATAAGCAAAGTGATTGCCTATTGGAAAAGTACTATTATAAACCCACGTCAACATAAACCTCGGCAACCTCCTCTACCCACATATCTCTAATAACGTTCCTTTATTAAATTGATAGCCACTAAATCTGAATACCTATAAAGTGGACACACGTCATCCGCTTATATCTCCTCTTTATCTGTAAAATTGTGAAAGCATTATGGTATTTTATTGGTTTTGTCTAATATATTGCTATGTAAGTATGTATTTATATATACATACATACATCAACTTTTGTATATAAAGCCAAGGACCCTGTGTATCTAAACATCACATTAGCCCAATGAAAATAAATGTAAACTTGTCAGATCACTTAGGACTTTGTTATAGATATTAGAAAGGGTCATATAAATAAATATAATACCTTGGACAATAACCCATATCAAATTTCATAAAGGTATTTTGTCAAATAAAAAGCAATTTCAATACAAGGACATGATTTCGTTCGTTCAGTTTGTATCGCAGCTAATATGCCAAAGTGGTCCGATATCGGTTCCGGCAAAGGAGCAAGTCCCTGGAAAGTAAATAACGTATTAAAAATCTCAGATCGAAATCTCAAAAACTAACGGACTAAATCTTGTATGCACAGACAGACGGACATGGTTAAATTAGATCGGCTAGTGYTGATAATTGAATATATATTTTTAAATGGTATCCGACACTTCTTTCTGAGTGTTACAAACTTCGTGACAAACCCAATATTCCCTGTTATGGGCATAAAACGCATCGCATTAAATATAGTTGGTGAGCATGACTTCTGACCAACAATAACCCTGGTGCTGGGAAGTTGATAACAGGACCGGCATATATTTGAAAAGTTTTTATACAACTACAGCTCCAACATTACTACAACTACAACACTTTCCTATTCAAATATTATACTATATCTTATCAACAATAATGGCATACGCAAACGCAAAATCATGTATGTAGTGTAATATCGTTTCTGTTTGGCATTTAAGCTTCAGCTCCCTCTTTGGTAGTGTAGAATACTAAAATGTCCAAGTCAAAAGTAGGAAAATACCTGAAACGCGATAAAAAGCAACAAGAATCACTGTTGATTGTTTCCCGGTATGTAAGCCAAATCTAGTGACGTCTTTGTTGTAGCAACATTTATCATATTAACTACTGTTGCCACTAGTGTTATAGACTTGCCTACCGCTATTTTCTTTTCGCAACACAAATTTGTTCATAAAAATGTGTTTTTTTTTTCTAATACTTAATTATATGCTTCGATCAGTTGGTTCCATGGCAGCATAACACGCGACGAAGCCGAACATCTATTGCAACCACGCGAAGACGGTCTCTTTTTGGTGCGTGAATCGACGAACTTCCCGGGCGACTATACGCTATGCGTCTGCTTTCAGGGCAAAGTGGAACATTATCGTGTCAAATATTTGGGAAATAAACTAACCATCGACGATGAAGAGTATTTTGAAAATCTGGGGCAATTAGTTGCGGTAAGACTCATTAGTACTACTCACTTCAATTTTACGCACTAACTATTTGTCCCAAATTGTAGCATTATGAAGCTGATGCCGATGGCCTTTGCACACAACTCATCAAATGTTTACCCAAGCAGGGAAGACAGGAGTTCTGCATTAATTCAAAAGATTTCCTTGATAAGGGATGGGTAATACCGGAGGCTGATTTGCAGCTACGCGAAAGCATTGGCAAAGGCGAGTTCGGTGATGTGATGTTGGGTATATTGCGCAGTGAAAAAGTCGCCGTTAAGATGCTTAAGGATGAGGGCGCTGTGCAAAAGTTCTTAGCAGAAGCCTCTGTTATGACGTATGTTTATAAATAAATTATATGCTGGTGTTTGCCTTTAACACAAAACTATTTTATTTTATTTTTTCACTCAACAGTACATTAGAGCACGAAAACTTGGTAAAATTCATAGGTTTGGTGTTTACCAGCAAACACATTTACTTGGTAACGGAGTATATGAGCAAAGGCTCGCTGGTCGATTATCTACGTTCACGTGGACGGCAGCATATTACGAAAAAGGATCAAATCAATTTTGCCTAGTGAGTATGCAATGCATCTTATATATGTACATATCTATATTATTATTATATAATATTATTTTTTTTTTGTCTTGCAGCGATACCGCCTCCGGCATGGAATATTTGGAAGCTAAAAAAGTCGTGCATCGCGATTTGGCCGCACGCAACGTACTTATTTCCGAAGAGTGCGTTGCCAAAGTGTCCGATTTTGGTTTGGCGCGTGAAGAATGCTATAATCTGGATGTGGGCAAATTGCCCATAAAATGGACGGCGCCAGAAGCGCTCAAGAATGGTGTATGTAAAAATTATATATTTTATTAAGTAGTATGTAAATAATATTTGTCTATTTTAAATAACATTCAACTTGTACAAGCATTCAAGCATTTACACAATTTTCACATTTGTACCTTTAGCGTTTCTCCAACAAATCCGATATGTGGAGTTTTGGTATTTTGCTATGGGAAATCTATTCATTCGGTCGAGTTCCTTACCCCCGCATAGTAAGTATTCACGATTTAACTTATTCGAGGTTTTTTTCCAAAACAAAATTAAGCTAAAAACCTAAATCATGCGTTATTTCAAATATTAAGAGTTGTTTAATGTTTATTTATTTATTATTATTATTTTTTCGTGGTAACCTAGCCCCTCAACGACGTCGTCAAACACGTTGAAGTTGGCTATAAAATGGAAGCACCCGAGGGTTGTCCACCAGAAATCTATGAGATGATGCGGCAGGCGTGGGACTTGAATCCCTCGAAACGTCCAACATTCTCCGAACTGAAAGTTAAATTGTTGCACCTGAAGAACACTACACCAGCGTGAGAACATAATTGCAATGCACTACGAGTGTAGGGTGTGACAGTCAAACAAACTGGAAACAGCAAACATTTAAAACAATCCAATCCAATCGAAGTGAGCAACTTAAATTACCAAGTAAWAAACACACACATACATATATATTTATGAATTATGATTAATATTATTTAAGGTTAGAAACACTAAGGCAAGGTTATAAATTAAAAGAAAGGGACATTTATTGGTAAGCATAAAATTGTAAAATGTTAGATTTCAGCAATTTATTTGTTTTTATTTGTATTGTTTTAAGTAAATATATTTGCAATTAAATTAAGTTAAAAATGTAAGAATAAGCTGGGTAACACACTTTTGAACGGCGTTGTAGTAAATACCTATTGTGTAATAGAAGGCAAATGATAGCGCTAGATTCGCCAATGCACGTGCGTACCCATTGAAAATTGAACGATAGCAGCTAGTTGAAAAATTAAATGTGAATTAAAAATTAAATTTAAAAACTACATAAATCAAAAAATTATAGTATAGAACATAAAATAAATATAAAAATTTGTCTAGTTTTCATGATTATTTATATGCGTATATTTGTTTTAGTTTCTAATTACAATAACTATGTAGTGCTACAGCACTATTTACTACTACTATACTACTATTTAACACTGCTGCTACGACAATTCTATGCTAAGTTTACTTACGTTATTTATACGAAGACACATTAGCAAACACACACACACATATACTATGTGTTTAATCCATATTTTTTTTTTATAAATATGTAATATTATTGTGAACTTGTGGACATGAATGTAATAAAATGTTAATTTGCTTACAAATTATAGTTTGAAGAGAGTATGTGAGAACTTGAAGTGACAACAGGAAATGAGCCAGCAAGCATTTCATGTAAAATTAAACAATTACAGGTATAAGATGACTCAAATATTCGCACATGACAGCCACACAAAAGTATAAACAAATACTACAGAATTCTTTCGTAATTCAAAATTAGCAGAAATAAGTTTTATAAAAATTTAAGGAAGGAGTATAAATCACATCAACTAAATTTTTTTTTTTAATAATCTTTGACATAAAAATATTGATTCTATATACAAATATATAGCTCAACTATTATAATCATACGTCAATTTGAATTTGAAACGAAACGATAAACAAAATTTGATATTAAATTACAATTAGATAGCTGTGTAAACAACGCAAAACCATTTCAAACTTTGAAACCATTTCTCTGATTTCAATTTATGTACTCAAATATTTGTTTCGAACTGCTGCTGATCGTTACCCAGATGTTTATAAATTAATCTGCTGCTACTACTAATTTTCTTAAAAAAAAAACGTATGTATTCTCTCTGAATTGTCTTGTCTCTTCGCTCAAGTTATACTYGTTTACATAACTCTGCTGTATAAATGCGTTGCTTGTGAAACAAGCAAAGTGAATAACTATTTAAGAAAAATTTATTTACATTATGTAAAGGGTTTCCAACGACAGCAAAAAACCACACATATACATATTTACATACAACTCATCCTCATATCATGATCATACAAACACTTATTTAACATTAATTAATTTAAACAATTATGTAATTATACGTGTTAAGAGTATATGTACATAACGCATTTCATTTAGATGYGTGTATTTGTTGATTTGTTTTTACGAAAGTTTAAATTCAGTAATTTAGTGTTTCAAGTCATTGTTTGGGCAACAGAAAGCAAAACTGGCAGCACAGATCTACATAACTTACTCTTACTACTATTCTAACTATTTGGAAAGGTGTTATAACAAGCTATTTTATACCACATACAAACACAGATACAGTCTCGGCATAAGATTAATTTCGCAGAAAACATTACAGAAGTACATTTCAAAATTATCAGATTGAGTAGTTACAGAAAACATTTTAAAGTCAAAATTAAACTAATAGCGTTACATAAAATTTGCGCTTCTCAAGATTCCGCAACATTTCCAATATTGTGTTCTCAATAACACTAAACGTTTTGTTTGGAACAAATGCAATTGATTTATATTATCATTCACAACTAACTAACGAATTTCACATTGCTTTACATTCTTTGCTCATTGCATTATAAATTGGTGTTATACCCACTGTCTTATAATTTAATTAGCTTCTCCAATTTGTATAAAATTTTTAATTCAGCATTAAGTCTATATGTATAAATATATATCTGATCTTATGGTTGAGTTCTCAGAGTCTCAGTTAAGTTAGACGGAAAATTACTTCAATATTAATCCGATAAAGCGCCTGATTATCAATATATGTTATATGTTAAAAATAAAAATTCTTTGATTTTTATATTTGAGATACTGTTTTTTTTTTTTATTTCCATTTGCGTTTTAAGATTGCATTTGAAAAAAAAACTATATATTGGTAAAAGGTCTAATAACCAATATTTCTGACTTGTATACAAACAAAACCGAAGAGAGAAAATTGGGGCCCAGGGAGGATAGAGGGTGCATGCCCGCTAATCCATCAATTTATTGACATAATAATTTGTTTATCTAGGGAAAAAATAAAATTTATTTAATTTTACCATAGATATATTTTTTGSTGGTGTTACATGTGAGAAATTTATAACTTGATACTGATCGGGCAAAACATCCATAAGAAACATTGATGTAGATCTGATATACATAATTTGATTTTATTTTTTCATTAATGTTSACCGCTGAGAACTCTGGAGGAGCATAATTTTAAATTATGATAAATGCAATTAYTGTTATGAAATTATAGCAATTGGAGAAAAGAAATGGCACACAATTTTCGCTGAGCATCGGGCCCCACTGAGAGYTCTATTCCCGCCTTGAATTGTTCCCGAACTCCCCCTCTCTCTCCTTCAATAGTTGTAAACATTAACGCCGAAACCGTACGACTCTCTTTAATTATTATATTTTACAATAATAGTTACGACAATCAATTGCATCTGTTCGCAAAAACTAAACTAAAACTATTTACTATCTGACAAATCTCTTTATTCAATAGCACATTTAAAACAAACGGAATCTTTGAATTTTTGCCAGTTGAACTGTGGAAGAATTGGATTACAAAGCAAAAATTAAATATAAAAGTAACATGTTCACATACCAAATATATGTAAGCATTCATACAACATTACTTTGAAGAGTGTGTGTAGTACGGTGAGGCAATAGCAAGCAAAATGTGCATGAAAAGCAAATAAAGAGATAAGTAAATATCACAGAAATGAAATCAAGAGAACATYGCATAAACAATAATTATATACCTATGCATATATACATATAATATATAATATAAAACATTTGTGTAATACATAAATAATAATTAATACAAACCTACATGAATACGTAGAAGTACATAGACATTTATAAATACATAAATTACAAGTATCTATATACACATATATACATACATACACTATCATAATAATTCACTAATTGTTTAATTAATATTAAATTAATTGCTTAGATTATACAACTAAAACAATAATACACAAATTAATAACTATATTCAATATGATGACAGTGACAATGTGAAAAATTCAAATAAATTAAAACAAACAAAAATGAATATGAATTTTGCCTCTTCTTATAACGGAGCAAGTATGCACTATTGAGAGTAACTTACTGATCGTATTCACAAGATCCCTGGAATGGGTCGTGTGTTTTACTACATGACAGACATTTTTTTCAAATCTCGATCGTCGCTTAGCGGTCAATACTAAAACTTCAATGGATCTATTACCAATAACTTAAAGCGTTATGATCCTCTGTCTTCTTATTTCCATTATCATTATTTTACCTACGCAGTATTTAAACAGCACAAGTTTGTAGATGTAAGAACTCTGCCAATCACGCAGCAACTATGTGAGCCTCCTTTACATGTATTTTACACTAAAGTTTTGGAAGATTTATTTTTCACCATATTGTCGGAATTACGCATTTAATCCGAGAGCTTAGAAACATTACCTTGTATGGATTGACTGTGAAACAAATCTGGGAGAAAAGTGGATAAATATTTAGTGCTCTCAACTTTACTTTTATGTACAACACAACAAGATAGGTTTTCAGTGATCATACAGGCTTTATACCGTACTGGTTACTCCCGCCTCTTCGAAAGTATTGCCCGGAAGTCTGCAAGGTTAGATCTAAAAACTGCAACGATTGGATCTTTCCAGTTGTTAAGTTTTTGTAAGGCCAAATTTTATGATGTCTAAAGATATAAATAATTAGATTTAAGAAAGCTATGTATGTTAATTAAACAAGGATACCAAAGAACATGGATGAAGTTCAACTTACAACCCATTCGATTTACGTAAGGAAAAATCTGTGGTATACTAATGGACGTCAAGTCTCTTAGTTACCATCATTGTCATGGATGTTTGCAGTTATTTTAGTTACCAAACAAGTTCGCTTTTAACGGCGCTAAGTTTTTCATAATCATTASATTTCAAACTTAATTGTGCTGTACAACGTTTCAATTATCGTTTTTATCTTTTTGACGCGCGCCATGTCCAATCACTATTACAATGAGCTTTGGCATCAAACACTTCATGAAATTGATCTTCTGGCAGTCGTCGACGAACAACAAGGTCAGAATTTCGAGACTGCACTGGCATCAACACCGCCGGATTTGGAAACTGTGACTGAGCCAAAGAAACTCATACAAACCACAGTCTTTGAGTTTTATTTACGTTACATCGGTATAGCCAATCGATTAGAGGATATCTATGACAAAATGGTACAGCCACAAAAACGCCTCTTAGTGCGTAAGCTACTCGACTCTTGTTTGGGACGCGTTATMGAGCTCAAGCACGATCTCGTTAATATTGATCTAATGGAGTTCAGTTACAATGATGAAGTTGTCGTACGCCTTCAATTAACACCCGACGATACCCAATTGCATATTCCGCGSTATTTTCTACGAGAGCGTCGTCAAGAGATCGAACAACGCAATCGTATCATGCACGAAATTCTTGTCAAGYTAGGGTGGCTAGAGGAGCATCCCAGTGATGAGAAACTAACCGAAATCGAAGCTATACGGTTATTACAGATGCATGAGCGTGCACGTCAGGGTCGACTTCGGGCACATTTCATGAAAGAGATACGAATGCTAAAAGATAAAGGTAAGACTGAGGAGAAGGGAAAAGAGCGCAGTGATTTGGGATTATTAGCTGCAATGAAGATACAAAAAGTATGGCGTGGCCATACGGCGAGACGTATAACGCGTCGACGAAAGCAGGAAGAAATGATTTTGATCGGCATGGTACCACCCACAGCTGCAATGCTAAAAAAWCGAGCAGAAAAGGAAGAAAAGTTAAATGAGGTATAACAAGCAAAGTGTTGTAATTGTCGAAAATGTGTTGTAGGTTTGCATCTCAACATTTATTTTCGCTTAGATTTATGAACGTCGCTATGCAACGCAATCAGCTTATAAACAACAGCTCGAGTCATCTCTAATAACCGTGCGAGAGGAAATCAAGTGTAAGCAKGGCGCTGCAATTACCGAAGACATAACCGATGAATTACGAACCTGGATAAAGGAATGCTATGAAAAAACAGGAAAATTGCCTGAATTCCCAAGTGAAGAACAAGGAGGATCACTGCATATATTTAGTCGACCAGGTAGGGATATTGGGGACAAAATATAATCATAATCAATCCTCAAAGACCATAGTGAACGAGTTTTAGAGGTTGGTTATTTATGGCACTCTTGGAACAGTGCATTTAACACCGACCTTTAGAAGACCTTGCGGATTAGATTAAAGCTTCTTAAACCATTTTATTTTATGTGTGGTTTTTACTGGCTTACAATAGGCACAGAAAGCGAGCTAAGTCGTTCCTCGGCGCGTTCTTCGAAGGAGTCACGTAAAACCAAGGATAAATCGAAATCACCGGCTCGTAGCGGTGACTTAAATTTCAATGACACTCAAGCGGATGGGGAAAACTTTCATCCTGGACAATCTGTGTTTCTCGCAGATATAAAAACTGCAATTGAAGAGTAGGTCCTACATTGAGCTAATAAAAAATGTACTGTTAAAAAATGTTTGCCTCAAAAATATTAACTAGGTTCAATGAAGTTTGGCGAAACAAAGATGAGAGCGGCAATCTCTCACAGTCTCAATACGATGATATGATTTACAATGAGAAATATTTAGAAATAGAATTAGAGTGTCGACGCACAGTCGATGAGCTAATGCGACAGGAATTGGAATTATTGCAGGTACATAAAAGACGAATATTTTTTTTTTTTTAAGTCCAGTTACATTTTTCAATTGTACTAATTTATGATTCAGACTGCCATTGGCAAAAAGGCCAAAAARAGYAGCAAAAAGACTCGACGTTCAGGTAAAAAAAGTAAAAAGAAAAAGGAAAAAGATCTTACCCCTGATCGTACGACTGAATCACTTTATGAGGAGCTGGTAACTAACGGCATTATACGCAAATATCCAGAAGTCCGTCTCAGTCAATATATAGGAGATAAGGCTTTGAGTGAACGCTCCGGTACGAACCCATCCGCTGGAGATATTCGTCAAATTCTCATCGAATACTGTATACTGCCACTGGGTTCAGAGCCCATACGCAATTCCTGCCCACTTATACGTTCGATTTTACTAGCTGGTCCACGTGGCTCTGGCAAGAAAGCGCTGCTGCATGCTATCTGCACTGAAGTCGGTGCTGTACTGTTTGATCTAACACCCGCCAATATAGTGGGCAAATACCCAGGAAAATCCGGCCTAATAAAGCTTATACATTTGGTTTCGAAGGTATCGCGTTTGCTGCAACCAGCGGTTATATATATGGGTGATGCAGAGCGTCCATTCATGAAAAAAGTGCCCAAAACAGATCGTACAGACCCGAAGCGCTTGAAGAAAGATTTACCACGTTTAATAAAGACTATTGCTCCAGAGGATCGTGTACTATTCGTGGGCACATCGAATCTACCCTGGGAAGCGGACCAAAAACTCTTACAACAAACTTACAATCGTTTCATTTATATACCTCGACCTGACTATGGCGCAAGATCGAGTGCTTGGAAGGCGCTAGCCAAGTGAGTGCATTGAGAATGCAAGATTTTATTAATATGAAGTTAATTGATATTTATATTTACGTGGGGTTTAGTGAATACACTGGCGGCTTATCTACTTTGGATTACAGTGTTTTGGCAAAGATCTCCGATGGCTATACGATTGGCGCTATTGATTCGTGCTTAAAGGAAGTCTTAACGTGTAAGCGGAAGCTGCAACTTCGTACGCAACCTCTAACACATGCCGAAATTATAAACACTTTGAGGTTATTATTCTGTACTTCCATATTTCAGAGAGAAATACATTATCGTACAAAATTAAATATTCAATTCATCTACATATTTTTATTCATTAATATAAACGAATTTATAAATATGAATATATACTAGATGCGTAAATAATTAAAAAATTACATTTTTAAAAGAACTTGCATTTTTCAGTATGCGTGATCCAGTTTACCGCGAAGAGGAAGAAGCCTTTGACAACTGGTGGTCTAAAACACCACTTGGACGACGCTATGAACGTGCGCTAGAGATGGAGGAGGAAGCGCGCTTAGAAGAAGAGGAAAAAAATGCCAAACAAAGCAGTAATGGCAAGAAAAAGTGAACAAGAAAAGTAAAATATTTTTATACAGTTATATTTATTTTTACTTACCTTTCACTTAAGTTTAAAAATGAACTCCTTATTACCACTTTTGCAATTGATTTCTTTAACAAATAAACTGAATGCATTGCTTTCACCCAACACCACATTTATAGCAGACTCTAGAGTATCCAAGTATTCATTTAGCACAGAGACTTTATCGCCAAGACACCACAAAAAGCTAATATGAAATGACGGTTCCTACAAAAGTTTCTTGATGATTATACCATATATACTCAATTGAATACCCACTTACTTCATAGAAGCGTTGAAGTCTGTATTCTGTCATTACAACATCCACTTTCTCCATTAGCTTATGAACTTTATCGTAGTGCATATTATCAACTTTAAGTGCAATAAACGTACGTGTACGTTCAGCGTTGGTATAAAAGTGTAAGCGCCGCAAACTGATAGAAAATCTTAAGAATTTAAAATTAAAATAACTTAGTTTACATCCAATCCGCTTTAAATTCTTCTAAACTACCTGGCATTAATTTCTAAAGTTGTTCTTAGCGACTCGACGAATGAATCGATGTGATGATGTTGTAGCACAACCGTCCGACTTAAGCTTATATGTAGATCTTCTATTGCATGTAAATCTTTTATTACATCAGYTAATACATCTTGACTTACTTCCTGTATATCTTCCAACATTTCGGACCGCACTAGAGCAATTAAAATTTAAATTGTTATCCATTGTGTGATGAAATATCATTGAATATTGGTTGCCTGGTATATGCACATAGGTCGCCCAATTCCCACGTTCATGTTTGAAACTACGTATGCGTCCATTGTGTTTTTCTGGAATATCTAAATGTGTTTCGTTTGGCACAGAGTTTGCAGGCTTTGCACCTAACAAGGACAGTGCGCAAGGTAAAGTTCTATGTAAAAAAAATATATTGATACTTAAGGTTATAATTACAATAATTATAAATAAACGAAAAGCTTACTTCTTTAGTTCGACATCCGGGGTCAATCTAGCTATCTTTGATTTAGGTCCTGAGATTTCTTCTATCTGATTCGATGTTTTGTGGCAATCATCAATACTCTCGTCAGATGAACAACTGCTATCATAATTTACCAATGCCATTATTCAACGTAGGTCACGAAGTAATTTATATTTAAGTTCCTTAAAAGTACAAATTTAATAAATTTTCACATTTGGTGCTCACTTTAGCAGACAATGTAGATTTATACATCTCAATATATAATACATTCTCTGTCACGGATGTTTACGAATTGTTGATACGGCAATAACACAAAAACTTGCATTTTCTAACACTATATTATATTCCGTTTACTTTTTGATTAAAATCAGCTGATTTCGTTTCGTCTTAACCTAGCAAAATTTTCGGTACTCATCCATTCGCGAACGATTACAAGACAAGTTATCAATCAAATTCTTTATTTAGCTGTTTAGTGAAAGCAAATTAAAAAATTTATACGCATATTTGAAATCGTAAATGCATTATCAAAGTAGTGGGGTGTGTTAGACAATTTGCGAAATGCATTTAGGAGGTGTTTTATATGTTTATAAAGGAGAGTGGGGTCTGCCGTCCATTGACTTTGATTGCCTACGTGCTCTGGTAAGAAATATAACATCGGCGCCCACAGACAATCACTCCATGCTTTTAAGATTGAAAAAGTTGCATCACCTTGACTACACACCGAAGCGTTGTGCTTTTTTTTTATAACTTTTACCAAGTAATCGCTAGAAGTTAGCAAATATTTCAATATAGATTCATTTTGTATATGAATGTATATAACCTTTTATTTACATATGTTCTCGTTGTTATTTTCTAGTGTTTAGTTAAATTTACACGATGCCCGCTGGAAATTGACACCAATGCTAATCCTATWCGCTCAAGCACGGGTAAATTACCGTACTTGCAGATTGGAAATAAAAGGTTCTGTGGCTACAGAGAAATCAAGAAGCTTTTGGATAAAGAGGTAAGTTGTGGATAGCAGAACAAAAATAAAAAGTAACAGTGATTAAGAGTAAGCAAATTATTTGTTAGCGTAAGAGGAAAGTTGGTGTTTTAGAATATATGGCGCCAAAATATACATTGTTTTATTCATTGTTTGTAGTCACGAATATATATATATTGCAATGAACATTGTTACAATTAGCGTTTACTTTAAATATTGTACTGAAATAATAATATCAATAAATCAAAGAAATTCTGGTTATATGTTAAATTTAAAAAAATCTCGGCAATGTGTGCTCATCATATATTTTTAAACACTTTCGATCATTTATCCTTAACAGGTGCTCTTATATTTTAACAATACTAATTATAGCCCTATACATACATTAAAATTCTTTCAAGTTGAATACAGTAAAATCCTTTGTAATATTACAATTCCACCAATATCAATTTGCAAGTTATTAATCAAATTGAAATAATTGAAAACTTTGAACATAGTAATGTATATTTAATAATATATCCGTTTGATATTTTTTAAACTTATTTGAATAATTTAAAAGCAATTTTTTACTCACAATAGGGCTACCCGATAGATGCCAATCTGCAAGAAAACCACAAGTTGCTTTCACCCGCTTATGCCAATTGGGTTTTCACCAACCTTCATTCATACTACTATTATTTTATGTTCGGCGAACCTAACAACTTTGATACTACGCGCAGTCTGTATGCAAAAAGAACAATGTTTCCTTTCAATTTCTTTTACCCAAGCAGTTATCAGAGGGAGGCCTGTGATATTGTTATGGTGATGGGTGGTTTCGACCCGCGCGATAAGCTGGAAAATCATGATGGGGACTGTGTAAGTATGCCATTAATAGTTTTATTATGAAAAGGCTACAATCTTTGAATTTTATGTTTTTTACAGCTCATCGCAAATGCGAAAAAGTGTGTCAATCTGCTTTCAAAAAAGTTAGGAAAGAAAGTATGGTTTTTCGGTGATGTCTTTAGTGAATTCGATGCTATCGTTTATTCGTACTTATCGGTACTTTTTAAAGCCACACTGCCCAATAATCCACTACAAAATCACATAAAAGGCTGTCAAAATTTAGTGAATTTTATTAATCGCATAACAAAGGACATTTTCAAAAATGAAGGATTCAATTCACTGAAAGCCATTAAAAGTCAATCATCCAATGATCCCCTACTAACAGCAACAGAGCGGCATTTCTTGGAGTCCGAAAAGAAAACTAAAGTCTTGGCAGCAATTGGTGCAGTCGTGGCTATGGGTACATTTGCCGCTTGGCGTGGCGTTTATAAGCAGGTATCTTTTTTTATTTCATTAATGTTTTCATAGGCGTATTAATGCCAATACAATTATTAAATTTTCTAATTTAGTTTTCAAATTCCCGGCGTTATTACGATGGCTTAGAGTATGAAGATGATGAAGCATTGGAAGACGATGAAATGGATTAATAATGAAGTTATTAGGAAAATAATTGCCTTCCAAAAAGCAAATATTCATGCACCTACCAAATTTCTATGATAAAGTATGTTTAGTAAGCTTTCTCCAGCTCATTCAACCAAAAACATTTAACTACCGCCAACTGTTATACAATATAGTCATTTTAAGTTTTAGTTTAATAAAAGAATAGGAAGATATATAAGCAGTTTTAATGTTTGTTCAATTATTTAAAATCCACAAAAGTATTGAACAATATACTTTGAGTATGGATATCATAATTGCTTGCAAAAAATTCTTGTTATTCACCTAACTTCGTAAAGAAAAAGAAAGCAATTAGATTTGTAATGATGTGTTTATACGAAGACATAGTTTGAACGCTTCAGCGCATAATTTAAAAACACTAAATGTCATACGAAATACCGCTTAAAATTCTACTTGGTTAAGTTATTAAAASTATTCTAGTTTATACTTATGTAWGTATGTTTGGGAGCAAGATATACTTTTCGGGACATTTAATTCATGCTTTTAGCGCATCCTGCAATTTCTTTCTAGCTACATTAACTCGATCCTCTTGTCGCCGTATGTCGTCATCCGACACTAAAACTGCTTGCATAAGCGGTTGTTCGGGATTCAAAAATGCTGTTGCATTTTTATTCATCTCAGTCTTTGTTGATGCTTGACCCATTACTGGCACATTAAGCACATGAAGAGCTGTAGCCAATGATTGTAGCACTGTTTGCTCATTAACATTCGGTCCAATAGTGCGTATACTCTTCGGTAGGACAATGTCATCAAACTCTTCACCGGTAGGATGGCATGCACGTAAACCTTCTAATCTTTTCTCCCAAAACATTTGCTTCGGTTTCTCTTGGCCGCTTGCCTGTTTAGTGTTGTCATTACGGACTTTAGTATGCTCATGATTTCGAATTACAGTAACTGGTTGTTTGAAAATCGATGCAGTCTGTCGTATAGGTGGCACCAGAGAGGCATCTGTGCGCGGTGTGCGACTATATAAAAAAAGTATGTAGAAGTTAATTCATTAATTTTACTGAAACCTGTGTATTTTTAGTCCATATGGATGCTTGATATCTGTACATAGAAAAAAATCAATTACACGGAGTTATTTGACTAGGTTCATGCACTACGAGAATGCATAATAAACAATATTACAAAAATACTTAAATTATAATGCAAATATTAGCAGCGAACCAGATAAAAGCACCGTAGCAGCAAAGGGTGAGGACATAACTTCCTAAAAACTTGCCAATAAAATTCAATATTAAAATTGTATCCAATTTACTGTTTCAATTTAAATTTTCTTCTTAGACTTTGCCAATACAGGCAGATTGGTGAACAATCAAAATTAATAACACTTATTACAACAGAATACACATAATGAACATGCAAAACAACGCGATTTTTTAATTAACTTCAACACGGATAACAATTTCATATTCATCTTCAATCATATTAACTAAAAAAATGACTTTTCGGCACTACCTGAATTCTAATTGCTGGCGTGAATTCGCTGCTGATGTAGTTGCAGCACCACATGCGCTCGATGGGGCACAACCGCTACTAATGACATTTGAATGCATGCCTTGTAACTGATGGGTCTGTGACTGGTTCTGAATTTGAGATTGGGATGGGGACTGCGCTTTGAATTTGCGCTTTAATGTATGAGATGTTGTTGTTGACATTAGTGGTTGTAGTATGTTGGCATTTATTATAGTTGATTGTGAAGAATTTGGAGAGGAACATACGGATAGGGATAAAGTGTTACCACCACTGTATTGTGGTGGCGGTGGCGGCATTGAAGTATTATCATTTCCACTTGAACCGCCACTAGTTCCGCTGCTATGATTACTTGTGCTACTGCAACGGAAAAGCGAAATAGATGGTGGTGGCATATGACGTACGAATTTGCCGCTTTGAAAATCAAATGCTCCAATGTCAATGGCATCACCCAGACATCGTGCTAATTGTGGCTTGCTTTCAATTTTTTTACCGGTCGGGCTGCTTATTTTGCAACACATTATCAATAAGGACAACGAGGCATTAATGGGATGTGAAATGCGTGCGGGATTTTATTTGTATACATTATTTTGGTTGAATATTTGTGTTTTAGTGTATAAGCGCAGAGGGAAGTGCATTGCACAGGTGTAGAGGGTGAGTTGAGGGTTGATGAGATTTGGTAATAATTAGATACAATAAATTATTTTAGACCATTTTTTACTGCACTAATTACTAAATGTAAACTTTTCTATATTACCTGTAATAGTAAACGTCGACTTTGCCAGCTGATATACCAGACTTGCGAAGAACTTCCTCTCTTTGCCAACCTTTTGGCAACGAGTTGCAATCGATGCGCTTACGTTCAATTGTAATACTTGAATTCATTGATACTAAATGCTTTCAATTTTTATAGAACAAATCTACAAATTTGATTAACAATAAAAGCGTCTGCAAAAAATTCTCCTCAAGTTGTCAAAACTATTTTATTTTTTCTCTCTTATGAAGTATACAGAGCGAAACTTCAGTTAAGTTGGTTGTGATTTTTCGAAATACAGAGTGATTTGGCCCTTTTGAATGATTTTAAATAAATTAAATTTTTGTAACAATTTACTTAAAAAACGTATTTTATTTTAGGAATGTGATTTCTCTTATTGATTTACACAAATGATTTTTTCTAAAATCGTTCACCTTAATTTAGTACAGAGTGATTTCAATATTAATATTATGGCTTTAAGCAGTATGTGGCAACGCCTCTGCTTTCATAGTGAAAACCAGAACAACTTCCTATTGCTTTCCAATTAACTATTTTTTTTTACCAATTTTGATATGAAAAATATATACAGTGGAAAGATTTGAGTTTCTCTTATTCCCCAACGATATTTTAATGCTAGCCTCTTGGCAAGCTACCGACAGCAGAAAACGAAGTAAATGATAAAAACGAMATCAACAACTTTCTAATTTCTAAGGAGAATATTTTCACATTTTCACTTCCTTTCCTAAGGTTAAATACARAGCTCTAAAGGTGAATAAAAACTATTTGATAAATTTTATTTAGCRACATTATCATGTGAATTATTTTCTAGAAAATATGGAATTAAGTTTGGAAATATGGTTGTGGATATCACTTGCCGTTTTGGCGCATGTTGGTGTATATGTGTTCGTCATGCGTAAACGACCAAAAATGCTGGTGGGACGTCATGTAGTTATAACTGGAGGCTCTCGAGGCATTGGACTTTGCCTAGCTGTGGAATGTGCAATGAAAGGGGCTAATGTAACTGTAATTGCTCGTGACCAAAAATTACTCAGTAGGTTTAATTATACTCTCCGTCGAAGTAGTTGTTGGTTTAATCTATATATTGCGATACATAATTACRAGGCATTATAATTTTTATCTTATCTTGTTAGGTGGCGCTGTTGCTCTAATGGAAGTAATACGCCAAGTGCCGGATCAAAAATTTCAGTATCGTTGTCTAGATATTGCTTTAAATTATGAYGATGTAGCAAATACTCTTAGAGAAGTTGAGGAGGGTTTAGGAGATATATATATGTTGGTTAATTGTGCTGGTATGGCTATTTGTGGTGTGTATGAGGATATATCAGTGGACGATGCGCGAAAACTTATGGATATCAATTATTGGGGCAGCTATAATTGCACACGTTATGTATTGCCTAAAATGAAGAAARCTCGAGAGGGTATCATTGTATTTACGTCCTCATTAGCAGCTCTTTTCGGTATTTACGGTTACGGACCCTACACGGCTTCAAAATATGCTGTCCGTGGTATGGCTGAAACCATTGCAATGGAAACGCGTCATCTGGGAATTTTGGTAACATTAGCTTTGCCAGCAGATACTAATACACCTGGTTTTGAAAACGAAGAGAAAACAAAACCGAAGGAAACGAAAATAATATCAGGTGGTGGAGGCTTGGCGGAACCACAACAAGTGGCGAAACAAATTCTTAATGATGCCTTGGTAAATTCGAAAAAACTACATTTTKCGCTTTATTATTTCATTATTATTATTTTCTTTTCAGTGCGGTAACTTCATTTCGATTTTAGGGGCTGAGAGTTGGTTCCTTACATTACTGGGAGGCGGTCTTTTCCGTTGGGGCGGATTTTTTCAAAATCTAATTCATGCCATATTATTGGGACCCCTACGTATTGTCGGTTGCTTTTTACACTTGCACTTCGAACGAGTAATTAAGAATTGTGCAAAGGATAAAAAGGACTAATGATTCCGTTATTGACATTATTAATATTTATTTTTAACGCACATGCATTTATTAATTAATTCAACATACTTAATATTACGCTTAATTATTTACAAGTGTACAGTGCCTTTATAAAGACAGTTCGAAAAAATATCTAATATTTCTGCAATTGTACAAATTATTAAAAACACGATTTTTATAACAATATTATAATATAAGCCAAAGAACGAAATCTTATAATTTATTATCCGCTTTACAAATCTAATACAAAATAAAATAGAGAATAAATAAAACTATAAAAACACAACGTAAATATTTTTTATGCTATTCTCGATTCGTATAAATTTTATTGGGTGCATTATTTCCATATGTTGGCAACTCCATAAGCTAATCAGAGAACGTATATCATCACCAGAGAACGTTTATAATATTATTTTTCATATTATAAACGTTCTCTGGCCATAATTTACGTTATTTGAACAAATTGGGAAAATATTACGAGTTCATTTGAAATATAACATTGGCAATGCCAGACGCGTTTGCCTCCTTGACGTTTGGAATTAAGACCATCACGTTGCAAGACAAATTTTCGAATTTTTGCGAAATTTGTGTAAAGAGTTTAATATAATTAGATTTTGCACATTAGTGGAATTTATAATAAAATATTACCAATATAAAAAAAAAAATCGTCTATTTTGTATGTTTTCTATCGTAAGACATTTGCGCGCCTCAAATTATTTTTAGAGAAAAATTAAAAACTAGTTTTACGAGTGCGTCATGGACAAGAATGGAGCAATGGACAGACGTTTTAGTTTAAATATGTCAACTTTACCCAATCCAATTGCAGAATCAACATGTGTAAACTTAAATGGCACCACAAGTGCCATTACTGAGAGAAATAGGTAAGAAATGCTAGCATTTTCTATACAATTATTTAATGGTATGTTTCATCCGACAGCACTACTCATCAATTTCGCTGGGGAGGTAGTCCTATTAGTCAAAAAAATCGTAGTAATTCAAGCATTTGTTTAAACAGCAGCAGTGCAAACAGAAGTACAGCAGCCAGCCCACAGAGAGCTAGACTGAACCTGAGTAAAATTGATCCAAGGTAAAATTTCTTGTTAATAATGTTATTGTAGGTTTAGTAACACTTATTTTATTCATTGTACTCTTGCAATTCTAGGACATATGCAGATGTTCAAAGCCGTGGGTTGGTGTCTCGTATTATACAATATCACGAAAGTAGCTCGCGTCTGAACCGCAGTAAGTCGTCCAGTAATCTGTGCAGCAAATCTGGCCAATATTCTATAGCTCCACTTCAGAAAACTGATTTACCTTACCGCGCAACACAGCAAAATGTAGCAATGACACGAATTGCCCCACCAAGTATTATTTTTTTCGTAACTCAAATTAATAGAAGTTAAAAAAATTTTATATTTTTTCTTTTAGAAAAATCAATTTTTTATGGCAACACACTGTCAAGTTTACTTCGATCGAATTCTGTAATTAGTGTTCAAAAAAGCGATGAAGAAATATCAAGCGAAAATCGCCCTATTTTGCATCCACCTCCAACAGAGAGTGAGCTGGCGCCAACTCGCAGTGTTTTAGATGTACTGAAAGAGATCTCACGCAAACGCATAAATAGTGATGTAAGCAGAGACATTGAAGCTTACCTATCTCAAAATATTAAGTATATTTGTTTCAGGATTCTGATGGAATACAAGACGTTAATAAAAAATACTGTAGCCGCGAAATTAACGATACATCGTACGATCCGTTAAGTGCTTCTCTTGGTGTTCGTAGCGTGGTAATGAATCCTCCATCAATTCCCGTTTCATCACAAAGTTTTAAAAGGCAGCGTGAGCATATAGTTATTCCTTCATCCCATACCCAAAATATGAATAGTGCTTGTGGAACTACATTTTCAAGTGTACGCTTACCATTACAAACTCAACATTCGCCAGAACAAATAGCAAAAAAACGATTATGTAGTTTGAATAACGATATAACCAGTTCACTGAGTTCAAGTCTCTTACATGCAAACAAACGAAAATTTTACGAGCAACAACGTTCAAACAAACAACGGTCACCACCATGTGGTACAGAAGAGTATGAGACACAAAAATCGAAGATGCATCGTCAACAATCCGATCTGCGATTCCACCACTTAACGCAGAGCTTGAGTTGTAATACACCAATAACGCCTATACCAACGACACCTTCATCTCAAAGTACTAGCGTTGCGCCAATACATAATATTATAGAAAACGGTACTGACAGATTGACGGAAACTGGAGGTATAGTCAATAGAACTGTGTCAGAACCACCGTTGCTGCTAAACAATCAAACGCAAAAACGGAAAGTAACATTATTTAATCGTAACTATAATGAATCGACAAAACTTACCAAATCAGATGGTAATATTGGAGAAATAATAGAGAATACCGTTACTGTAGATGATGACGAATGTGCTGATATACAATTCGTGAAACCAAAAAAAAGCTCTTCAATAGTAAACAAGAAAAATCCAATGATAGAACGCACCCAAAAGTCAAAACTGGCTATGATGCTAAGTGGTTTGCGTGGAGAAATTTACCAAGGCGAAGAGGGGTACGATGAGGTAGACAAATTATCCAATAAAAATTCACCTAGCACAATAAAGGAGAGCAATACCCCAACAAAAAAAGATACATCCGTTAGAAAAGAGATGACACCAATGGCTTCTACGGTAACAGCAATCTCTGCGGCTAATTTCACTATAAAAGATCYAGATAAATCTAATAAAACATTGACTAGTGCATTGCTTCCACCTGTTTCAGCATCTGATAATACTGCAAAAAGTACTGCCTTAACATCAACAGTGGGGGTTTCACTAAGCAGTTCCCCACCAAACTTGTCTATGCCGACAGCTACAACAACAACTTCATTACTTGGCGATTTCAAATTGGCACCGGCAGCAGTTTCAAGCAGTAACTTAGCTTCAACAAATGCGCCTCCAATAATAAGTACAACAAGTACCTCTACAAAAACAGCATCCCCACTGGTGGGTCTTAAATTAACTCCACAAAAACCTACGAATAATTTTGGTAGCAGTGTAAGCTCACCCACGCCTACATTTAATTTAAATGCCGCAACCGCAACCACCACGACAGCTTCCGCTGCTGTACCCCAACTTCAGGGATTTTCATTTGGAGCCCCTACTAAACCCATCTCAACAACTGTAGCACCAATAACAACAACTACTGTTGTCACATCGTCGATTAGTGCTGGCGGATTTAAATTTGGATTAACAGCGAAACCAGAAGTTTTAACATCGGTAGCAACAGCGCCAACAGTATCTGCATTTGCCAACTTTGGAAACTCTATGACAACAACAGCAATGCCAGTTTCTTCAGAAGCAGCAAAATCAGCAATAACTTTCGGAGCAAACGCTATTAGTACAAGCGCAACAGTTGTCAAGCCCACATTTAATTTTGGTGGCAGTATTACAGCACCAGCCCTAACCGCAAGTACTACATCTGCAACCGCTTTCAACACTATCGCCACTGGCACATCTACTTTTGGCGCCGCAACTAATGCAACAACCACTTCAGCACCATCGATGGTAGTCCAACCAACTGTGTCTAAAGCGCAGTCAGCAAATGCATTTGGTAGTACTGCAAGGAGTAATACATTTAAGAGTCCAACAGAGGTGGCCAAACCCTTTGCTTTTGCCACAACCGCTAGCACAGCACAAAACGCCTCTRCGCCAACAACACAACCGGCTTTTTCCTTTAGTGGTGCTGCTGTTACTCCGGYAAACACCGGAGCTCCTGCTGCAACTGCCTCTAATCCTTTCGCTTTTTCAAGTCAAAAGCCAACTGCTGTGACCACTACTGCAAACTCACCCTTCTCTTTTGGTGGTAACAATCAAGTAGCGGTCACAAAAACCTCTACTACAAATACAACAAACGGCAACGCCAGTAATTCGGCTTTCAACTTTGGTGGCGAAGAAAAGAGTGGCGCAACCAACACAAATCCTTCGGGCGGTAACCTTTTTGCATTTGGTAGTTCATCAAAAACGGACGATAACAAGATATTTGGCAACAACAATGCGTATGCTAACAATTTACAACCAGCGAGCGCCCTCCCAATTCAGCCGGCCGCATTTACTTTTGGTGCGACTCCAACATTCGGAGGCGTTAGCAGTGCAGCAACTTCGAAACCTGTATTCGGCTCCACTACAACAACGGCAGCAACCACTCCTTTTGCATTTGGTGGCAGCAATACCAATAAATCAACACCGACATCCTCAACAGGTGGTGCAAACAATGCCTCCGCTGGAGGTTTTAATTTTGGAGCGTCCAATGCTGGTGCAATCAATGGCTGCAACACATCATCTATCAATATATTCGGTGCAGCAACAACAGCGTCGGCAGGCGGCACCAACATTGCGAAGACCCCATTTAACTTTGGTGGTGCAGCCGCAAGTACCAGTGATACTGCAAAATCTATATTTGGTGGCAGTACAATGGGCGGCAACACGAACGCCGCCAGCAGCAACAATGCGTTCGGTGCGGTCACTGGTACTAACAGCAATCAAACGAATAAAACATTTAACTTCGGCGGCACTACAACGGTAAATAACACCAACACTTCAGCTAATCTATTCGCCGCTGCCGGGAACAAGTCGTCAGCCGGAGGCTTTTCTTTCGGCACTAGTACAATGGGAAATAAGCCAGCARTATCATCTAATGCCACACCTTTCGCATTCGGTGGTGGATCAACAAACGGCGGAACAACTGCTATCGCCACCGCAGCACCGTTTAGTTTCGGCAGCAGCACGGCAGGAGCACCAGCTAGCAAAACATTCTCTTTCGGSAGCACCGGCAATGCCCCAGCGCCGCCAGCAGCAAATGCAAGTAGTATTTTCAGCGGTGCACAGCAATCTTCCGGAACGACCTTTAGTTTCTCAGCGGGTGCATCAGCTCCTACTGCACCGTCAACTGTGACAAATATATTTGCGCCGCCCGCCGCACCTGCTGGAGCAGGTCCGATTGCTGGGGGTGCGGCAGCAACAGATCGTCCTATACGTCGCGCTACACGTCGGTTGCAGAAAACTTAGTAACTATAAGAACAGTTTTGACTTCGTAATTGACAAAAGGATAAATGTTAACATCCCATAGCTAAAAATAACGGTTACTTATATTTATTTAAATAATTGAATAATACATATTTTGCAAAATATTTGTTATTAATGGTTTATAAGTTAAAAATATATCTAAGAGTCACATACGTTCGTTACAGCAAGATTGTTTAAAAATAGGAAGCCAAGCAAAACAAAGCTCAAGAAAACTCAATAAATGCGACTATATATAACTTGTAAATAAAGATTTTGTTGTTTCATGGGAATGAGCGAAAATAATTAGTTTAGCTTCTAACTAAATTCACCATTCATTGGAAATTTGTGGTTGCTTTTTAAAGGTGCCAATTTTAACGATCAATCTTACAGTAGGTTAATAAATAGTACGTATAACTAATAAGATTACAAGTCATACATAAATTGTATATAGCATATAAAGGAATATTATAGAATTAATAAATACATGTTTATATATGCTTGCACATACATACATAGAACAGAATTATATACAGCCTTTTGGAGGGTCCAACAAAATAATTTAATAGTTATCACTGGAAATGTATTTTAACATTGTTTTCGTGTGTTTAAATTGCATACCATCGGTGGCGTTCAAAACCTCATTTATGAAACTTTCTGAATTGTGTATTGTGGTGCCACCCAATATCACTTTGTAACCGACATTATTAAGCTGATGTACTGCAAGGGCTTCTTCATAAGTTGCACCGCCAATGATGAACACCACCACCTCTTGCGGTGGACGACGGAATGGCACAAGCTCAGAATTGATGGCCGGGTACATGGGATCCAGTTCACGACCCTTGAAAACTTCCTCCAAAGTTTCTTTGAGCAGTGGTGTATGTTGTGTGAACACGTTTTCCACGCCCTTTAGGCCCTACATAAAGAAATATATTTTAGAAAACATATACATTACAAATTGTAATTTCTTTTCGAAATTATTGCCTACAACCTTAATTAAATTTCGGGTTAGTTTGACGGCATCGGATATGCGCACCAAGTTGAATATTTCTCCCTGCCTCATATGCGTACCAGCATATTCAATTAAACTAGGAACGATTGCTGTTTTCCCACCACGTGTTTTAATAATTTGCAATAAACTAGATGTATCACAATTGGCGTGTCGTTCATAACGCAAAGCATAAAGTGCCACTAATTTGATAGCATCATCGACTGATATGCGTTCATCGGCTATAATTTTGCGTATACGCTGTAACTGTGCCGAATGTTCCGCTTTACAGGCAACTTCCTGCTCCAATTCGGATACTTCGAAAAGGTTCCTTTTAGTGGTTAGTGCTGACAATTCCCCCATTATGCAGAGATGTTTTTGTACCGTACCAGACATTTTTTTGAACTGTGGATATGTCTCAATGAAATTCTTCATGTCAGCTATACTTTCCACTTTTTTATGATCCTTAGCTTTACGCTGAAACTCCTCCATTAAGTTTTTGATTGTAGAACCTATTTCACCGAAATTTGCGTACATATTATTGCCATAAAACTCATCCTGATCACCGGATAAAACGAGCTCTCTATAATCTTTCGGTATACCCGGTATGTTGGAGAGATCAACGCGGTTGTTATGTATGTTTAATAGTTCATGAACCATTGCTTGATAGGTCCATTGATGCAACAACGGCGTAACAGGATCGTCACGACGATCTAATATAAGCAGCAATGGTGGTGCTGCGCCATTCTCATGGGTGCGTGAAAAATCGAAAAGACTCGACTCCTTGCAAATTTGCTCGTATATTTGCTTTGCCAATGTTTGTGATACAACTGAACCAGCGCGATATCGTATAACCGGATTGAGTTTAAGAGATAATAATACGGCTAACACGCCTTGTACTGTGCGACCAAGCGCGTCGGGCAGCCAATTTAGGCGATGCATACTACTATTTATGTTGAGTGAAAACAAATTTGGATTTACACACAGATAGTCTGCGTATACTTCTTTCACTTCGCGTACTGATTCGCTTTCATCGCACTCGGCTAGAAATTTAATGTCAGTGCGTGGAATGATGTTACTGAAATCTATTCATTAAGTTCATAAGAGTCGAATCCAAAAAAGGACATACAATGTCATTACTTACAAATAAAATATGCACCATATTTGGGACTGCGGAGTTCATCGGCTAACAGCTGTATGTTTTGTTTAGTAGGCCTAATAAAAACAATGCATTTAAGATTTTTCATGCGCTCATTAGAACGACCTGAATCAAGACGTTCGAATAAATAGACCTCCCGTTGAAGCATGTCCGATTGGCTGAAAGCCATTGATATTATACTTGTCTACAGATATTAAAGTTATAAATTTTATGAAAATTATTGAGTATCTCCAATCCGCAATTACATACCGTCTCTTTGTCCAGCAAAATAGTCTTCATTCCAGGCCCTGATTCATTACACATTTTTTCCACGTACAATTTGATGGCTGTAATTAAATTCATTATTGTAAAGTAAAATTTGTATTGAACAAATTTAATTGGTAAATTTTAATTTTTTCTCAGATGTACAAAGTATGTTCCTTGCTAAAAGAAACACAAATCTTATCTGTAAATTACCAGACCTATGAARTCATATTGAAATAAAATTAATACAAAACAAAATTTAAACATTGCTCTCATCACATTAAAAAAGTATTATGCAAAAGAATAGCCACTTTAATAACTTTACTTTCATTTCAATCAACTTTTAATATTTTTTATAGAAATATTTTTTTTTTTTAGTATTTGAGTTGAAAAGAAAAAAATGGCAACATGCTGAAACAGCTGTCCGTTTTCAACAAATCGACCATAATTATAATTGTAAAACTTTGACTTGAAACCCTCTTTCTGAATGTCAACAAACATTGCTGCCAACTTAATTGGGTCTATCACAAATAATTTTTTTATAAATTAACATTTTGGTTATTTTATCAACTTGAAAAAGGAAATTAATCTATGTTTAAATAGAGAATATAAAGTTACATTTTTAATAACATTTGAAGGGTATAACGTTAATACTTAATTAAATGTGTATACAAGAGTGATTGGTATTTAAGTGCCTTGCTGGCAGGTTAAAAGTGAATACAAATAAAAGCAGGGAAAGTGTATTATAACAAATTCTATCACGGAGTAAAACAATTTGATAAACGTAAGTTTAGCTTTTGTGTTTACAAATATAATAAAATCGAATGTATGTTATATATTATCCTAAATGGTATATAAAACAATATTAAAAATTGTATGTTGTATAGGAGTACAATAGACCGTAAGATTCATATGTATTCAACAAACTCCCCCCACATATTTTATGGTCTGACGCCATCAAGCAGCTGATAAATTGTATATAAATAAAAAAATCGCTTCCTCTTTTATCATATATTTATAATTAGAACCATGTGTAAAATAAAGAAGTGAACTAGATTTGTAAAGCAGGGCATACATAAATTGAAATTGTAAAAAAAAGTTTAAGATGTTTTTAAATCCACCACTTTTTACAGCCAGAAATTGCTGGGTGATTGCAAAGAAAAAAACGTAGGAATGAAGTAAATATATTCATTAATTAGTTTTCCGCAATGGAACAGGTCCAAGTAGCACCAAATATTCAATGTTTAACGATTCAATAAAAAGTAGATTGCGCAACTCAATAAACCAGTCTCTAAATCATTTGAATCATCTGGGTTGAATAAAGTTTTGTCWGTAGCAAATGAAACCAATAAGACCTTCTTTAATTCTAGAAAAAATTAAATAAATRAAAAATGTATACATATAATAATGAAAACGCTAATTTTGTTTGCGCCGAAGAAACATATAATACCCTTCATAATTACAAAATATTCCCTGCATAAACTTGACTTTGGTCGGTCAATTTGTATGCGAACTATGGTAGATGCTATAGTTGTCCGATCTGACCAATTTCTCAAATCAAATTGGCTAATTGGAAATACGACACATGGTATAATTTTTAAAAGATACCCGGTGTTTTCTTCCGGTTGTTACAAAATTTTTAGCAAATTTTATATACCCTGTTCACGGTACAAAAATAGATATTTGTCTAGTGACCCATTTACCCATTTGTGGGCAATATATTCATGTACGCTATATATAAAGAGGTGTGAATGCTTTTCAGCCAGAACAAATACAAGCATTAAATAACATGGTTACCTGACTGGTTGGTGCGTTCACATATCTTATGTTCTGCTTTTACTTAGTTAACATAATGTATACTGCAGTGGGCATATCAACCCAGTCGGTAACTTAATACATACATACATTAGTAAAATAGTTATCGCGTGTTTTTCGGTCATCAAATAAAAGTGAAAAAATTATGCGCAGCACAATAGAATAATCTAAGTCGAATTTCAATGATGACTTACGTGAACAAATTATAGTAACCTAATACCTTGACAACTATGCCTTCGTTATGTACTCTTACTCTCGCAACATGTTAAAAAGAGTATAGTTGTATTGTTCACTTAACGGTTGGTTGTAACAAAAACTATCGAATTTAGCCGTTTTTTCGACAGTTTTTCATAGAAAAATATAGGAAGATTAAAAAAACAAATAAGCTTCCATAGCGCGATAGTGCGATAGCGAAGGACGTTAAAAATGYTCTCTCTAAATTGGAACTGGAGAGGATGGAGTTATGTGTAGAAGTTCACGCAAGTGAGGAAAGTTCTCTGAATGCCATTCACTTGGGAGTGACCAATCAACGATAGTTTTACATATGACTCAAGCAGCTCCCGACTCCCGCTCTTTGACCAAGTATCCTCTGGGTAGCCTAAGAACATCCATTTGAAGGCGAGCTAAAGTGAGAAGTCGAAATATCCCCTACATAGGGTTTTGCGCTGGGTTTGGGACCCGGCACGAAAAAAAACACTATCAATGAAAAACTACCAACAGCCTCGGATGACAGGCCCCCCTTTTGGTGACGACCATGGAAAACGAAATAAGGACTAAGAATTGAAGGCATGCACCTGGTATGTCCGGTTTCTTAATTGGGAAGGTGCCGCTGCTCAGCTGGTTGATCTCCTCATGAAAATAAAGGCTGACATCACCGCCGTCCACTAAATGCGATGGACGGGACAAGGAAAGAGACGGGTAGGTCCTTGTGGCATTTACTACATTGGTGTGCGTAAGTTTGGTGTGAGATTCGTGGTGARAGAGAGACTCCGTCGCCGAGTACTATCATTCACTCCGGTGAATGAACGTCTAGCCACAATCCGCATCAACGCGAGGTTCTTCAACATATCGCTGATTTGCGCCCACGCTCCGACAGAAGAGAAGGTCGATGTGACCAAAGATGCTTTTTATGAGTGTTTGGAGCGAACTTATGAAAGCTGCCCCCGCCACGATGTCATGATGTTAAATTCAGCCTCCRCGACGAAACACCCCCAAATGGGTTGAGGCTGATCGACTTCGCCGGGGCCCGAAATATGGTTATCTGTAGTACTAGATTCCAGCATAAGAAGATTGATCAAGCTACCTGGCTGTCTCCGCATCGAAAAACCACCAACCAAATYGATCATGCTGTGATAGACGGAAGACTCGTCTCCAGTGTTTTAGATTTGCGTGYGCTTCGAGGTCCTAATATCGACTCGGACCACTATCTTGTTGCAGTCAAGATTCGCACCCGCCTCTGTGCAGCGAAAAACGCAACGGTTCGACGTCGAGAAGCTGCAATCACAACAGACAGCCGAACGATTTTCTACTCAGCTTGCACTCCTGCTCTCTCAGAGCACTCGTCAACAACTCGGTATAAGGAAACTGTGTCACGAAACCATTGCTTTTCGGAAAGTGCTAAAGAACAGCTGGTATGACGAGGAGTGCCGTGTCGCAGCGGAGAGAAAACAGGCTGCTCTACCTGATACCGAGAGTTGAAGAAKGAAGCGAGACGCATTTGCAGACAGAAAAAGAAATGCCTGAGTTCGAAGAGCTTGATAAGCTGGCCGACAGGGGTAATGCTTGAAAATTCTACGAAACAATGCGGCGGCATACCGAAGGTTTCAAGACCGGAGCATACTCTTGTAGAACCCCCAAAGTTGATCTAGTCACCGATGCCCAGAGCATACTTAAATTATGGATTCCATTGCCTGACCATTAAGAAATTCGAATAGCAATTACCCGCCTGAAGCACAACGAAGCGGCGAGGGCCGATGGATTGCCGGCCGAGCTATTCAAACACGGCGGCGAAGAACTGATAAGGAGCATGCAAATAGACCTGGCAAATCAACAACCAACCAGATATTCACAATGCGGCAATTCTTGGAAAAGACCCGTGAAAGAAGAATCGACACATACCACCTCTTCGTCAATTTCAAAGCTGCTTGCAACAGCACGAAAAGGAGCTGCCTTTATGCCGCGATGTCTGAATTTGGTATCCCCGCAAAACTATTACGGCTGCGTAAATTGACGTTGAGCAACACCAAAAGCTCCGTCAGAATCAGGAAGGACCTCTCYGAGCCGTTCGATACCAAACGARGTTTCAGACAAGGCGACTAGGCCCTACCGCGCGACTTCTTCAACCTGCTTCTGGAGAAAATAATTCAAGCTGCACAACTAAATAGAGAAAGTACCATCTGATATAAGAGTGTACAGCTGATATTGATATCATCGGCCTCAACACCCGCGCCGTTAGTTCTGCTWTCTTCAGACTCGACAAGAAAGCAACATAAATGGGTCTGGCAGTGAACGAAGGCAAGATGAAATATCTCATCAAACAGACAGTCGTCGCACTCGCGACTTGGCTCTCACGTCACTGTTGACAGTCGTAACTTTGAAGTCGTAGATAATTTCCTGTATCTTGGAGCCAGCGTAAACACCATCAACAATGTCAGCCTGGAAATCCAACGCAGGATAACTCTTGCCA